TCAGCCTCTGCACTTGGGGTTCCCGTTGAGCTGGGCAACGGGCTGTGGCGAGGCTTCTCTTTATGATGTCATTGACCTCCTCATGCCTGGCATACTTCCCTTCTGCTGTGTGACACACAAGACCATGAAGTCCGAATTGATCAGCTGTCGCCCTGCCGCAAATACACCTTTTGCTCGGTGAGGATGGGGCGGCTAGGCGAAGAGCAACACCAATCCGAATGGCCTGTGGGTCTAGTCAAGTGCCCAAGGAGGAATTGGGAACAGCTAACAGGAAATCTCCTGAGTGTGGTGCCTTCACTGCCAGGAGACGAGCTTTGTCCTTTCCTGAGGCATTGGAGAGCATTGTGTTGGCGATTTTTTCCATGATCGGTTTGTCCCAGTGGGACTGTTTGTGTTCTTTGGGAGCAGCTGGTCTACTGGAGGATTCTGTAAGGGTGTCCCACCGAATCGCTGCTTCAGTAAACCTGGGGTCTTGAGCTCCTACCACGTCTCTCAAGCATTCGGGAACAATCTTCTTGACTAATGCACTGGAAGCCAAACACGAAGACAGAAAAGCAGGTAAAGCAACATGCGTTGCTTTGCGCACCCCTATACCTCCCAGTCGCACTGGGAGGGTTGCCTGATCCCATTGCTGATCCTTAGTGACAGGTTCAGTGCCTTCTTAAGGGTTGACATCAGGTGTGCGTCATATTCGTCGAGTGTTGGGTTGTCGAAAGAGGGTGCACACCTAAAGGAAGTAAGTGAGTCTGGTAATAGTAAGGCACCTTGTGAGGAGATACAGAGCATCATGGGCATCAAGATTGCTTATTCTCTCCTCCATTCTCATCAGGTCATTCAATTTGTCCTTGAGGACTGTGTCGCTGGCCTGGTGACCCAGCGGTGCTCCCAGGAGGGTACTGTTGGACGGAGTGGTAGTAGAGACTTCTGGGAGGATTCTTCGCACAGCATTGATTATTTCCTGGTTCGCTGTGATGATTTCACACTTGGAGGGATTGAGGATGAGTCCCAAGTCTTCTCCCTGTGTTTTCACCAGTTGTAGGTCCCCTACCAGGGACTCTTCAGTACCTGCCAGAGTGCCATCATCCAGGTACCAGATGTTGAGCTCGCTGCATAGGCTGGAAGTTAGTTCTCTTACTGCCAAGCAGAAGAGAAGCGGAGCTAGTGGGCCACCCTGCTGAACACCTTCTGATGATTGAATTTCATGTTCTCCAAACAAAAGAATTGAGGGTTTGCTGTAGCCAGCTGAGATGAAGGGAAAAAGACTGGGGAAGCGATCCCAAACAGCTGGCAAGACAGCATCTCTCTTTACCATATTAAAGGCATTTCTAAAATCAAGTTTGACTACAGCCTTGTCTTCTAGTAGGTCCCTGATGTAGGCCCTTGCTGCATGAGCTGCAGCTTCACTGCCTTGAGGGACCCCAAAGCCCATTTGGGTGTGGCTGGAGTAAACTGGCAGCTTCTAGGCGAATGTTCCTTACTGCAGCTTTGGCCATGAGACGGCGAAGAGTGTTTCCAACCGCAATGGGTCTGATTCCCCCATCCTTCTTCTTCAACGCACACAGTGAGGCTCCGAAAAAGAAAGGTTTAACTTCTTCTGGGATTCGCCCAGCTATTGCAGTTGTTGACGAAAGTTGTTAACTCGGTTAGAAGAAGTGATGCAGATGCACCGAGTACTGAAATTTACCATCTCCTTGAGGTTTCTGAGGTCGAATTCCAGTGTAACCTCCTGCAGATCCTGCAGGAAATGACACGATCGCCTTATAGACTTCCGATTCAGGCAAAATTAATTGCTCAGTGATGGGGTCTTCCTCAGGGTTGTTGTTGATGGTTATGGTGTCCCTGGTTTGGGTGCTTGTCTCTTAGTGCTTTTGGGCCTGTGGTCTCATCTTTGGGGGCTACAGTGTAATTATTCGGATTGCTCCCACTGTGTTACCTTCTTCAATTTTTTTGCTAACCTGTTTGCAAATTTTCTCGTTTTCAGTGGGCTTTTCTTGGGTCTACCTTTGTGATTTCCTGCGATGATGGGCAGAGGGACACAATTATCCGTTCTTGGGTAGTTGCGCACTGCCTTGATAACTGACGTGGTTAGCAGTTTGCCTCGTCTCTCAGGAACTGCAAGACAGACATTGCCGAACAGGAGCAGGTTGCGCCATGCTTGGATGGTGCCTCGGGCTTCTAAGTTGGTGGAACCTCCTTTCACCTGCTTAAGAAGGTCTGTGAATTTCCTGCTGCATATGGGCGAGCTGCTTTAGGGATGTGGGATAGGGCACTGTTAGCAGTGGATTTGAATGCCAACAGAAGGTTATCGCAAGTGAGGAGGTTGCCATTGGAATTGTCATCTGCCTGTGGAGGCTGTGGGCTGCTCTCTGCTGGGGGCATATGTGATACCGCACACCCATTGTGTGCACGAATGTGACCATTCCTGTTGCGTGCTCGAAACTCTCTGCACACCTGACATGTGCCTCTTCTTTCATTGTTGGGTGCACTGTTTCCCTGGCTTTGTGGCTGGCTGGCTTCATCATCTGCCATACCTCAAACTGTGTGGTAAGCCCAGGCTGAAGAGAAAATAGCGCATGGCACATACCGCATATAGTTCATGGTGGTGGTAGGGGGAGGAGAGGGGTCTCCCGTCCTTGTGGTGGACGGAGGAAAGGGAGGAGTGGAAGATGTGTGATGAGGCGGAGTAGGGCACTCACTCCCTCCCAGGACAAATCACTATACACCTCAATGCTCTGTGCACCTGTTACTATACGCCACTATTCTCTGTGCACCTGTTACTATACACCACTATGCTTTGTGCACAGCCCCCACTATAAACGACACGCCGCTGTACACTACACGTGCTATGCGCATACCATGCTCATACTACGCACTACACACTATACACACGGTGAACAAACACTCCATTGTTGTAACACAAGCACACGGTGTATGCGTGTATGCGCGCCTGTTTGGGGAAGGGGGAGACACAGTATTACCCCTCAACCTCTGCCTCCTCCTCCTCCTCCTCCTCCATTAGGCCTTCCCTCACTGACCTCACCTACCCATGGTGACCGTTATGTTCCCTCACTGAATTCACATACACAACACTTTTCTTGATTCTGAAGGAAGAGACGAAACGCAGAGTCTTCTGGCCCTTTCCAACACGAGCAGCAGATATTCACACACCAGTCTGTTGATAATAATCCTGGTAGGTGTTCTTGATTAGACGATGTTGTGCCAGAGGTGCCAGGTATATATATATATATATATATATATATATATTTTATATATTATATAATATATATAATATTATATATATATATATATATATAAAATATATAAGGAGCTGGGAAAAAGACTCATCAGGGTACTAGGGATCCCAGGGCAGCTAGTTTCTGTTCCAGGGGCTCAGTGCGGCTGTTCAAAGGGTAATGCCTGCTGCATTTTGGGCACACGCCCCAGCTCTGAGGAGCTGGATGAGATTTTCACCCCATAATCAGTGATACACACGTAACACATGTACCGTATATGCCACCTTTATATTAACAATGTATCTCTTAAATCTTCTTGCCATATTATTTTTTTTATTTATTTATTACACAAAAAGGGTTACCAACATAAAATAAATTACCATATATATATATTTTAAATCTTTTACATACAGTAAATGCATAAACACCCCTCCTTACATGCATGCATGAATTTCCATTCGCAGGGCCAAGTGGTGCTTTCCCTGAATGCCCTCATAAATTGTTATTTTTACTATAAAAATCACCCAAGTTTAAAACCCTTCCATTCACTCCTATATTTAGGTAGATGCCTGCTGGAAGTTAACTCAAGGTATATCCTCCTTTATTAGACGAACTACCTCCACCCTCCTAGCCGATACCCCGCCTGTCTTATACAACTGAATCACTTCTGGGGAAGCTTATGTTCGCTATTTTGTCTGAATAGTAACCCCTGGAACTCCCATTCTCAGACGCCACAACAGTTTTGGTAAATTCCGCATCCTCCTAATTCCAAACTTTAAAAATTAACAATGTCTGCAGTAGATTCACACCAAATTTGCTTCACTTTAGAAGACAACACAGAAATTCCACCATTCCCTCTGCTAGCAACATTACAAATACAGAGCTTAAGAAGACAATATTTAAGAGCGAATGGTAAACAACTCCTTACATTTCTGTGAGGTCGATCCACAGGACAAAGTTACCTGTCTAACTCCTAAAAATGCAGGAACCACTCACCAAATATAACCCTCCATCATTATTGATTGAACCATCTTCAATACTAGCACATCACGGAACGGGTGGGGCTCAATGTACAAAAGCGTTAACCCCTCCAGCCCACCCTCCAATAGATTCATCCAGCTCCCATAACTCACTCGCTATAGGTTGAATCCCAAACCTTACTCTTTTGTTTCACCTTTTTAAATTTTATTTTGACACCACAAAACATACCTCTCTGCAGCATTTTTTCAGACTAAGAGCAAGGGGGTATCAGAAAAAGCAAACTGTTAACAAAGTCGCCACCCTGGTGTCCTTCGTATCTTTTAACTCCAATTTGAAACACTCGCAATTACTCTCTCAACCCCTTCTATAAATCATTACACAACCACACTCACACCCTTTGCCTAAGGCTACGTGTAAAGCTAGAAAAAATTCTCACCTTTTCTGTAAAAAATAGCTTCACATTCAAAAACCCACTCAGTAACCACCCCCACAACATACACTTGCAAGAAACTATATGCCCCCTATTGATACCCCTTTTCCTCCCAAAGCCAAAGCTTAGGGCTTGTCTATACTGTTCACTATATTTTACTAGTAAACACCGGGCAACACCCCTATTGGTAAAGCTGCTTTTCTCAGATCCATTCCGTCTTACTCTTAATTCTTCTTATAATCACCATACCTTTATCCGGATTAAACTTAAGAACCAGGGCTTAATGTTTGCATCCTTTCTTCCCCATTTGCTTTAGACAAAGGCTAGGCTATGGCTACGGGCCAATCCTAGTAACCTTAACCCTCTTCATACATTTATTAAGATAATTGCCCAACCACTCCAAAACTATATCCGCCACCTGCTTTAACATTCTATCTTATCCCACAATCCCGGCTGGGCCCTTTCCCCTTTCATTTTACCTACTCCTCACAACTTCCCCCCCCTCACAACTGCTCTTCCACTC